TGTCATCAGAATTGATTACCTCAAGTGGTGTTCGTCAGGGCTTTCCACTCTCTCCATTCTTGTTCAACTTTGTCGTCGACATACTTTTAGAGATAACACTTTCCTCGTCTAGATTTCCAGTGGTTGAACTTCTACCGGGAGGTTCACTTGTTGACTAAGAATATGCTGATAACATAATTTTATTTGGTGAAGACGCTGAAAAAATGCAGTCTTCTGACCACTCTAAGCAACAATGCAAGCATGTTCGGGATGCGATTCTCTCCCTCGAAATGCAAAATGTTGCTTCAGGATTGGGTTACATCGACACCCGAACTAATGATAGGGAGTGAAGTAATTGAGCGTGTCGATCGCTTCACTTATCTTGGAAGTCTCATCAGACCTTGTGGTCTGGTGTGTGACGAAATCTCAGCACGGATACAGAAGGCTCGACTAGCTTTTGCCAACTTGCGTCATTTATGGCGTAGGCAAGATATCCGTCTATCAACCAAAGGACGTGTTTACTGCATAGCAGTTCGTTCCATCCTACTTTATGGCAGTGAAACATGACCGGTATCGTAGAGGATATCCGTAGGTTACTAGTATTTGGTCATAGATGTCTTTGAAATATTGCTCGTATATCCTGGGACCATCGAGTAAGTAATGCAGTTGTTAGGAAACGGGTACTAGGTAAGGATGGCAAATCAATTGGTGACGTAGTGAAACTTCATCAGTTGAGATGGCTGGGACGTGTGTTACATATGCCCAACCACCGACTGCCTCGATGTGCGATGTTTTGTTGTATAGGAGTAGATCGGAAGAAAACTAGGGGCGGCCAAACCAAAACATGGCACAAGTCCATGAAGTCACTGACATGTGGATTGAGTCATGTTGGTAGGTGTAGACTACTTGGTTGGGGACCACGAGATGATAGCAACCGATGGTTAGAGACCCTGAATGACATGGCTCAAAATCGTTTGCAATGGCGCAGGTGCATTCACTCTCTGTGTTCTCCCAAATTCTAATCTTCTGAATTCTTCATGTCCCTTTCTTTTACTCTTTCCAAATTTATTTCACTGTATTATACTCCTTGAATAACATCTTCAAACCCCAATTTTTCTGATTACAGCTTATAATTTTACTACATCTAGCACTACGGGATTTGAATCGACCACTGAATCTCTGTGCCAATGTGATGTGGCAACTTGAACTGATGTACGTACGTACGAAGTTCTACGTTGTTATTGACTGACTGACTGACTGACTGAGGGGAATTGGAAAACCCTGAGTTCAAACCAAGGGTGCACATGGGCCACAGTATCCTGAGGGAACAAATGTTGCATGAACCAATCATTGGTCACCGGTTACCATGGGACTGCATCTTCTTATGTCGCTCCACTGCCTTGTGGATCAGACCCTCGGGTCAAAGGCTCCGAGTGTGGCTCCCTAAGAAAACCACCTGCTTCGGTTCGGGCACGCGGGCAGTATCCCAGCCCTCACATAAGTCGAATGATTTATGTGGCACATATCTATTTGGTGTCTCTTTGTACCAACGTTTAAATGTTTAAATAAATAAATAAATACTATACATTTACGTAGACTTCCTTGTAACTATATATATATATATATATATATATATAGTGGTGAGCTCTAAGTGCATTGAACATGCGTTGACAAATAGGGAGGAAGGAAGGTTTTATTAATAACAAATATTAATATCGACAGCAAGATGATACCATTAATTAGATAGAACAGTATAGTATAATTTCTACACTAAAATATACAGCAGAGTTTCACTAAGGTCATCTAATCATTTAAAATTTTATCATACCATTGTTTTTATCTAAAATCTTATATGATAACGAGGAAACCTGACGAAAAATTCATTTTCTTAAGTTTCCTAACTTATCTATGCCAATAGCTCTACTTGCATTAGAATCTAATTATGTCGAAATAAACAAAGCAGAATATCAAAAGAAGGCAGAAAAATTTGAAACACACAAATCAAAATGTTTCAACTTCACAAATAGTAAATAGTGAAATTTCCCCTCTTTAGCAATTATTTGAAGTGAAATATTAAAAAAATCTATTGTATGTTTTGCAGTTCATTTCTAGAGAAGCTGCATGATCGTGCATTTTAACAACATTTAAATACACATATCCCTTGGATGTTAAGGCTTCACAATCAACACAAAGTTATGAGATCTAATTAATGGTGCATTTATAGAGAGTCTAATACTTGGTACTACAGTGCACATTGTATAGTGTTTATGTGCAAATCGAAAAAGATCTTAAGTACAACTGGATACAAGTGAAATATATTACACAACTAAAAATATGTATATTAGTAGTATATAATAGGTAACCTACTTATTTTCCAACTACAGTTTTACGTAATCGCTGTTGTATCAGACTATATGCATGAAAATGAATCATGTTCCCAGGTTGCACAAACGAAGTGTGTGGAGCGAGTTTCAAACGAACAATGCGATGGTTGAAAGTCAAATCCTTTGCCACTAAGCTACTAACCATAACAATCGGCGAGAGTATTCATATTTCTATCTATAATTCTGAATCACTAATTTTTACCCACACGTATGAAGGTGTCGTGAACTTGTCAACTAGAAACACATGATTTTAGACCTTTTCAAGCTTATGCATTTCAATAACAAAATAGACTAACTCAATGATTTCAGATAAATGAAGATCATGAAAAGTTAGAAAGATTATTATGACATATGAGGATAAGTTATTTTGGGCTTCCAGTACATGAAATAGTAACCGACCTCGTTACATACATATCTGAGAGCTTACTTATATATTTAATTTCACATAACTGCTATATGTGTTCATCAGCACCTTTGGAATCTGGTCCACCCTATATGCTGAAACTTCACTTATCAGTCAAAGAAGTTATTCAATTTGAAAGAAAATTGATCGCCTGATAACTACTGATGTAGCCAGTGAAAAGTATACTAAGATACAAAAGGCGATATCATTATTGGTTATAGTAAGAATTGGGGATGTTCTGGACAATAATAATAAAAACTTTTCAAGCAGCTAAATGACCGTATTTATAGAATCTCTGATGGTGACCGGAGTGTGACTAAGCTAAAAGAAGACAAGACTGATTATTTCAAATTAAAACATTAGTTTATGAGGTATGCAAAAGGTTATAATCTTGATTTTAGCCTTATGGATCACATAAATCAAAAATTAAATACCCTTGGTAGAATAGCTTAAAGTAAACCAAAATAAAGTAGGTGCATTTCCATTTTGTTTCATATATCTTGAACATAATACTGTTCTTTATTCCTTGCATTGATACATATTCACTTGGCCCATTTTAACATCACTCTACTGGTTACTTAGCTTTTACGGTGAATAAAAAATTAGTATATAAACATTGTGAGGTCTCTCCTCTCGAACACTATTGGTCAAATCAGAGCTTACGGTGAACTATCATCTCAATCGTCAATCCCAAGTGAGGTTCGACAGGGTTGCCCACTGTCTACTTATTTAATTTGGCCATGAATGTCCTTATGGGAATCACACTTTATTCATCTAACTGTTCAGGGATTTATCTTCTACAGGGCGACCCACTTATTAACTTACAATATGCAGATGAAATAATCCTACTCAGTGAAAAAATTGACGTTGTGTAGAATATTCTGGTCACCTTGAGTATTAACCCAAGTGTATTTAGGGTGCATTTCTCTCCCTCTAAATCCGAATTGTTGCTTTAAAACTAGTCTGTATCATTGACTATATTAACCATAGGGAGTGAAGTAATTTAAAGTATCAAACACTTCTTGGAAATCTTATGACCATTCGTGGATTGGTGTCTAATGAAATCCCAGCATGAATTCAAAAAGATGGGTTAACTCTTACCAACTTACATCACTTGTGGCCTAGGTGAGATGTCCATCTGCCAACCAAAGAGCGAGAAGGCTGTACGGCAGTCCATCCTGTATTACTTTATAATTACGAAACACTATTTGAAAGTAAAAGATATGCATTGACTACAAGCTTTGGACCCTACATGTATTCGAACCATCGCTCGAGCTAAATGTAAAGACCGAGTGAGCGATGTTAATCTTAGGCATAGGGTACTAAGCAAAGATGGCAAATGAGTTGATGTGGTTATAAATCTTCATCAACTGAGGTAGTCAGGATATATTACACATAATTAGTCACAAGGTTATGCTGCCTGGTATACGAATATGTTGAAAGAAAGCTAAAAGCGGTAAAAACAATGCATGACATCAGTTAATGAAGTCGTTGGCCGCTGTTGTGAGACATCTGGATAGAAGTTGGAGATGCGTGGTACAGCAGATGCATTCGTTCTTTACTCTGCTCTAGACCTTGAATCCCAGTATTATTTCATACATGACTCGTTACTGTCTTTTTGAACCAGATTCTCAATGTTTAGCCCTTTGCATCGCTACTATATTACTTCAACTCCACCGTACATCTTGTTAATTTCATCCCGTCGCAATTTACGTGGTATGGCAACATGGGATAACGCACACCTGCGCCAGGTTCCATATTGATTATGATTGACTGGGTTTTTAAATACTGGCAAGTTGAATTAATGTGCATTACAATAGCTCATCAATTTGTAGAACAGAATTAATGTAGCTGTTGATTACTTAACTTAGCTTTAATACGAATTAGTTCAGAATTAAATACTTTTGCATATTGATACTAATTAAAACAGGTATTATGTTGAAACACTACAGAGTTAGACTATTTAGTGGGCTTAAATGGAGTAAACAGGAATTGTGTGTAGAAATCCGAAAAACACCTCTTAGAAAAACTTTGTTAGAGTTAACCATATATCTTTCAGAAACCAGAGCAATAACATAAATATTTGTTTCCTTACAATGACACTTCCCCGTTTTAAATTTATTATCCTTATTGACATGTTGAGATTGTTTTGTTAGTAAGCAAAAAAAACTGGTTAATCAATCTGATCATTTTAGGATTAAAACATAAAAACGAGAAAAAAACAACGAACATACTAGTCCTCTGCTGTCCTGACTAATACGATAATGATAGACTCTTCCTAAGTGGCGCACAGTTACAGAAAGTTGACCAGGTGCAGACTCTGATGCTCTAACCAGAAAAGAACCTGTGATACCACTTCGAAGGAGATGTTCTCCAGCTTGTCTTGAGACAGCACCATGATACCATGAATATGGAAGAAGACTTGGTTCTAAAAGACTTAGAGGCGATGAATCCATCATTAAATGATGAACAGGTCCCTTGTTTGATACGTTTTGTACCCGTGATTGCATATGGTCATTTGCAATAATTGGTTGTGAATTAGATAAACAAGGGGCATTAACTGAGCAATTTGGCTTTTCTGAACCTTCACAACTAATTAACTGTTGTGAATAAGACTGTTTTGAAGGAGCAGAACTTTGGAAGACATTTGTAATAGCTAAGTAACTCGTTGGTACCCATCCACGTCTGTAATTATTGAACAAATACATACAAGAAGTATTTACACTGTTCCCAGTTTCCCTGGTGGGCCCATGATTATGCTTTACAGTAGCTCCACCTGTGCATTGAGAAGGATGACTTTCTGACCCGGAAGTAGAACTACCCGGTTCAGGTTTGGGGAGAGGTGGTAAGACAATAGAAGCTTCCACCTCAGACCAGTCTCCAGCTGGACTATAGCTTAAAAGGCGTACCAATTCACCTGAAAATCAACAGAATTTATAAATAAGAATAAGCATTTGTGAGATGCAGAATCAACTAGGTAAAACAAACAGTACTCTATATGATGACTCTCCAAACCAGTACAATAACGGAGTAGATAGGTAGTAAAAAGCTTATCAGAATAAACTCCCACCGTGAAATCAACATGAGATCTTTTAGAATAGATTTAAACAGATGTTTAATAAGATTCGAACTTATGATATATGCATCACATAACAAGACAGTATAAGTAATGTTCATAATTTACTAAGTCCAGTATGAGAAAATCAACAAGAGGAACGGCAGAAATTTGCACTTGGAGATGTAGCTGAACTGGCACTAACTGACTATATTTCTATTGATATGTATAGGCTGAGACAGTCCAGTATCCACTACTTACTAGTTATCTGGAGGGAAATTACAACAAAGCTCTGTTCAACAACTTTGACAAGATTTTGACGTCTAGTTTTGAAATTTCGAGGGATAGCGTGTGATGAAATTTATGAACTTGCGAAATAAATAGTAACTAGAAGTATGCAAGAACCGAAGACAAGATCTGAACTTAACTAACGAAAAAATTAAGTGCCAAGAACGAATGAATTTTACCAATGCACGTCAAAATAACCACTCGTGGAATTTAGGTGCGACAATAACTACTGAGCATTTAAATAGAGAAACTGTTCATAATGGTGCATCAAACATGGTGTACTCTGTATTTTTGGACAGTGAGATTGAAGTACTGAAGACGATTAAAAATTTGAACTTTCTCTGAGTTTTTTTACATCTGTAACATAACGATCTGAGATCGGTTTTCAGACTGAATAATCAAGAGATACTCTCTAACTGAATGAGTGCAGTGAAGCTTAGCAATAAATAAGTAAGCTACTTTTCCCACATCATTAATCACTGAAAACGCTGAGAGAAAATGGAGCAATATTTAATATGACCTATTTTCGAAAACTAAAAGCGGATAAATGACAGTCACAAAATGATCAGATTCGATAATTATTTCTGATACGAAGTAGATGACGATCAAGAACGATTTAATATTATTTATTCTACGTGAAAGTGATGACAGAGGTAAAAGATTATTTTGCCTGAGGGAACCACACAATTTGAGCTTGTGGTAAAACTAGTAAATATTAAACGTTCGAATCGTTCTCATCAACATAAACGTCTTAAGACCTTATACAATGAGACTTCAATATTCAGACTTATACACAATGCTTAACAAGGTTCGCGGGCCTCCGTTACCAAGCACACCTGAAGTGATATCCACTATGATTTCTGACCAAACTTGATCATCTTTTATTCGGTCCCTTTCACTATGATGCCCTTTAACAACTGTTGTGCAGAAGCACATTCTTCTCAGGTTACTTCTAGCAGTTGTGAACAGTCTCAACATGTACACATTTTATTCTCATCATAGTTATTCCCGGTTTCACTTTGCATATTTACTTGACGCACTGATTCTTTGGTGAGACTATAATTTATGGACGACCTTTGAGCGACGCTGAAGTGACCTTGAGTGGACACCTACTGATTGGGCCTAAATGAGGGTTGTAAAGCATTTAAGATTCTCATTTGCAGTTTATGGCTAGGATTAAAAATTAGATTTTGGGTTTTCATCACGAACTGACATCAGCTATAATGTCAAAACTCTATTTAGCCAAATGTATGGATGGATTTTGCGTTAAAATTCGTGACTCGTTATCTTATATCTGATTGGTTCATCCGTAAATTGTAGTCTCGCCGATTCTTTTACTTTATTATGCCACCACTTTAAACACAGATTTTTAACAAACTACACGTGGACGTTAATGACCTTGTTTCAATTATTATCAATGATTTCTCCTAATACATAGAAATGCGTCATTTCCTTCTATTTGTGATATTAAAGCCTGGCAATAGATCGTAGAAAGAACATACTTGCTTAAATTGTTTGTTTAATTTATGATAGTGGGGATACTCAGTTTGTTACTAAGCAAAGACCAAACAGTTATGTTTTAAGGATATTTCGACGCTCTAGAAACATCTTACACTGTGATCCAAATCAAATATACGAAATAAAATGTGACTTCGTCTTACTTTGTTGATTTTTACAAAATTAGGTGGAGAGATCCACCACTTTTCATAGTGCGTCCACCAAAAAGGCAATATAGTTTACCGAAATTTTAGCGTGCGATGCTTAAAGTATATGCGTCTCCCAAGACTCAGTAAACTATGACAGTAGACGTTTTAGATGTTAAACACGGAATTTTAAAGGAAGACCAACAGGAAAGAATGTACATCATTCCATACGTACTAATCCGCACTGTCGACTAGCACTTAAGTAATATTACTGTTGGTAAGATGCAAATTAGTTCAACTTTAAGTTTACTAGTTCGTCCAAAATCTTTACGGTATAAACATAAATAAAGGTGAAAAGCTCGTGTAAATTGAAGTAGTGAATACCGATACCCTCCCTCCTTGTTATGTAGCTTAATGGGTGATAGTTTCGTATTTTGTACATTTTTATGACCACAAAGCTGAAAGCTGTTATGTTCCTTATTCGTAAGCATTTGGCTATAACATGGCAAAGTAATTAAAAAGAATATGTTTCCGAAATCCAGTCCCAACCAGGACACATCTTGCAGTAATTAATTTTCAGTGCTAATACTTTTTCAAACTACTGCTGCTTTTTTCTCGCCCAGCGCAAGTAAAAAATGCACTAGACTATATGTCAAGTGGAATATATTCATCACAGTGAGAACTGACCTCGCTTAATGCTGATTTGAGAACTCATTGATTCGGCGAAGTCGTATAATACGACCATAATACCTCCTCGACCCAGCATGAAGGAATCGTTAGAATTTTGCGCATCCATCTTTGTGTAAGCACGAATATCAGCTAGTTTTTCTGTCATTCTGTAAAATCAAGATGAAGATTTACCGTCAACTTTGTTGAGGTCAGCCAGTTTAGGGTTTTCGCTCAGGTCAGAAGTATCAACCCTACCCATGAGATTTGGCTCATTTTTTGGTACTGTCAGTTTACTATTATATCCTCCCATCAGATATCCGACTCCACTTCATCGGAAGCTCACAAGCTTTCATCAATATTAAAGCCCCGCCCCTGGAGCATTACATACACATTTGGCGCTCAGTAAATGGTATTCCACAATACCCTGTTACATTGAATACAACAGAATTGTCTTCCTAATCACTGGTCAATTCTAGACTGCATTTACTTATTTAGATGCTACGCAGTTAAATTTCAAATCAAAAATAGTTTTATGATCATATTGGGGTGCGAAGCAAACTTTGTTCATTAATCTTGTCTGATCGTTTATTGGGGATATATTGAAGTGCTCACTACCATACGATTACTGAAAAATATTATCTAACAACTTCAAAAATACCTATAAAAACCCATCTAGTTATTTTGCTTTGGCGTCTCAATTCTGGAGACCGATTTCATTTTACCTGTCTTCATTGCAATGAATATAAACACCTGGTCATAATAGCCCCAAGACATTTTAGATTCGGGCTTATATTTCTTTATTAGGTACGGAAAGTCAAGGGAATAGATGGGCTTTTTTTCTTTAGGCTTATCTTTTCCTGAAAGAGTCTGTAGCAGTAACTAAGTCTCCCCGAAACATAGTTCAACATGTCTTTGACATCGATGTTCTAATAGATGCACTCCTAGATGGAGGCTATTGATCAACCGACCCCACTAAATCAAGTTATGTGCTCTGTGCTGAACACCCCTTACGGAAGTTAGTTAACCTAAACGTCATATGCCTTCATATATTGAACATAGTCCTAATTACTTACTTACTTACGCCTGTTACTCCTCGTGAAGGAGCATAGGCCGCTCACCAGCATTCTCCATCCAACCCTGTCCTGGGCAATCCTTTCCAGATCCTTCCAGTTGTTATTAATCCTTTTCATATCTGCTTCTATTATCCGACGCAATGAGTTTGATGTGAGGGATTGGATGTTCTTCATTAGCTCGGTATTTTGATAGTTAAACTTATTGGGAGATGTATCAAATGAGCTGGTGAAGTTGATTGGGGAGTTTACCCAGGAGGAAAGGGTGGGAGTACTCTGTGATGGAAACTGTACGGAGGAAACAAATTTATGGTTTGCATGTGGTTTGAAATAACCTGGGCTATATGTTTCAACAGAGGTGTCACTAGGGGTCTTATTCCAAAAAAATCTTGCACAGGCCTACTGTGAAGTGTATGGTTATTTACAAAATAGTTTTGATGGTTAGACTCGTAGCCCCTGTTATGGCTATTTACGTTAGCGCGAGAGGGGTCTGCTACGCGTAACTGGGAGGAGTTGCGACTGTTGTTATACATGGAGCCGTTGTTATGTGATGGGTCGGCACTAAAGGGTATGAGAAGTTTTCTTTTTGAGAGTAATTACAGTTGCGATCCTGGGGAATGTAGGTAGGGTGTGGAGTGAGAAACCTATTATTACCGTTCTTATTTATGGTTTTAGGCTTCAGGGGGTGATTTGGGTGGCCAGTTCTCTGGTAGTTTTCGTTAGTTTGCGTGTAAGAAGGCTTGCTACGCTGAAGCCCACCACCCTTTTTGCAACTTGGAGGTGTTGAAGGCAAGTTATACGATAGCAGCGGGGAGAACCTGTTCACTGTTTTTGGGATACCTATAGAGCAGTTGGGTTCAATCTTACGTGTTTCCCTATTCGGTATCATGAGATTTGTCTTCCCACCCTTTATTTTCAGAGCAGGATTCTTTCGTTGTCTTTGTGAGATGAACTTACGTTCATTCAAGTCTACTTGTGGAATGTCTTTAGGAGGACAAATTTTCAAGTGTATAGGTTTAGTTGCACATGTGTTGTTACACGACTCACATTTTAGTACATTACTGAATGAACAGCTGGGATTAGTCATGTCGTTATGGTTTTTGGTGTCAGTTGGAGTCCGTATCTTATCCAAAGGTTTCTGATCTGTAGACTCATCTAGATCAACAGAGTGATCAGCCGTATGTGGAGTGGTGTCATTCTTACTGTTCGTGTGTTTTAAACTATTTGCTGTGTTGCAAACTGTCTCTGGCTGATTATTAACTGTAACACTCCCATTCAATTCTATCGCTTCGCGTCTTCTTACACGACGTTGACGAGGCGTAAGGTCTGGAGTGACTTTTATATTTTTGTATGGAATTAGTGAGCTAATATTTTTGTTCAAATTAATAAACTGCTTAGCATCGTTACAACAGCCAAACATAAACAAAAGGGGGGAAGTCGATCTGTCTGACTTTTTTCTAAGGCGGATGACTTTGCAGTTAACGTTCGGCATACCGCATGCTCTAAGGCAAATATCCCTTAACTTAGATGGGTGTGTGCGGTCGGGGAGGTTATACACAACTGCATTGAAGGAGGACATTACTCTCTTCGTCACTTCTTCAGCCACAAACTCCAAAATACACTCAGCTTTAGTGAGTTGCTCAAGATTTCTGTCTGTATCAAGGCCCCATATATGAGTGAGGGGTGCTAATTGCTTAAGTTTGCCGTTAATTTCGGATAGAGAGTTTTGTAGCTGTCGGATGTCATTACTATATCTATCAGTATTTTGGTGCGTATGAGGTGGACCATTGGACTCTTTAGTTTTTGAAATTTTAGACTTAGGCCTTGGTAGCACATAGTGTTTAGTAGACTGTGCTGACTTTTCAATGCACGTAGGTATAGTGTCTTGTATGTCAACCAGTCATACCGTTGGCATACTGCACGTAAAGATAGAGGGGCTGCGACATGGAGAATCTGGTGACGATAGAGACATTTGTGTACAATGCACATATTTTTCAGTGGTTAAAGGTTCGACATTGTCAAGCACTGAGTCGTCAGTTGTAGGGGTTACAGATTTGGACCTTTTATTTGGCTTAGAAGTTGGTGAAATTCCTCTTTTACTGGAGTTATTGGACATGATATGAATATAAGTGAGCACAGTGCTCGTTAAATTAAATATAATATCTGAGTATTAGTTGTTATAAAGTATTAACCTGGTTAATACTAGGATTAGAGACTGTGAGTATATAATATATTGCAGACCTATTTACGACTTAAGTCCGCAATAGGTACAATACGAACTGGTAAATGTCCGTCGAATAAAAATAAGTTTTTTCTTATGTTTCGAGGTGAGATGTTCCCGATGTACAGGATAGGATGATAATCACAGTATAACACACCCTACAAAAGAGCAAGTCGAAGAATTCCTAAACCACGTGAAAAAAAAGTGTTACCACTTTCAAAGTTCGCGCTCGTGCTGTTTTTGCGCATATGGAACGCGTCATCATGTGCATCATCGAATCAACATTTCTCAGCTGAACGCTGCAATTTTGTTGTGTTGTTGGTTCCCGTGCATTTTGAATAGTTTTGGCTTCCACTATATGACAAGTACTCGTGCTTTATTTAAGAGTTTATTCTGTACTTGTGTGATTGTTAAGTGAGTTATAATCCTGTCTTTCAAGCCAATCAGATATATTATGGTTAAAATCTCATTGGTATACATTTTCATGCTGACGTACTTTTAGTTTTTGAAGCGAATTATTTCTCCAATTTGTTTAACAAGCGTTAAATATTGTCGATCACACGAGTTAGTATTGAGCTCTTTTAGTTACTTTTAAAATGGTAAAGTTCGCACTCATGTACGAGTGGTATATATTCAATTTCGACTAGTTTCTTCGTAGGGTGTATTATACTAAGATTACCATATTACCTTGTATGTGCGGTACATTGTATAGTTAAAAGGTAGATTCTGAAAGTCATTTTCCAGCTGATACATATCCATCGTGAATTTTTCTAAATATTTTATATAAGACCTCGGTGGTCAACGTTAACAGTTTTCTATCTTCTGATTATACTAATTAAAGTATAAGCACTCAGTTAACTACTTTTATCTCACATATTAACTGAACGCCTAATGTCTAAAATCATTCATATATCCACAGCCACTTGTTTGAATATTAACACGGGTAACACTTAGGAATAAATTTATAATGATATATTCCATTTGGTTACCCATATCTTTACTTACTGAACTTTTAGTTATAACTAGTGATTCCAGTAAAATAAAAAGATAACCTACTTCCACTAAACGAACCAAAAAGTCGAAATCTGTGATCACTGTATCTGAAGAACCAGTGCTCAGTAAATTCAAACCTTGATCTGCCAAACTCTACACCTCTTATCCACAAATATCACTACCACTGCCTGATTTTCCGCGAAACAACCCCTCCAGTTCTTTTATGATACCTGAATACACCGTAAAGTCAGCGCAGTGTTCCTGTCAGTATTGCTTACAAGAGTCAGAATCCAAAACTCCACAAACCAAGACGTCTTGCATTTTATCTAACGCACCGAAATACTGATCGCTATGGTAGCTATATAAAATAGTTCCAAAAATTTCTCACTAAAGTTCACGAAAAACTTAACCACTTAGCACTCCTCACGCGTATATGAACCCTGAATAATGATAAAAACCTCGAACAACTCACTGAAGCCGAATGCCCGTTATAATTTCCAGCTGAAAAATTTAAAAAATGAGGATTTCTTCCTGTGGTGCGATTGCGTACAGTACGCCTGACGACATGCCTCCACCAAGCTAAGGAGTATTTTCCTTTGAGCATGCGGTAAACTGAACGTCAACTGCCAAGTCTCTCGTCATAGAAGGAAGTCAGATAAGTCAACATGTTCCCGTTCAATTTTCTCTAATGTAGTGATACCGAACCGTTTACTGATTCGAGTAAAAATATAGGCCGATTGGATCCATATAAAAACTTAAAGGCCACTTCAAATCTAACACCTTGCCAACGTCATGTAAGACGTAAAGCGATAGGATAGCATAGTCGAGTCACATCAAGTACCTAGCTAGAGATAACTTTCAATACAGTAAGAAGTAGCGAACACATTCATCGTAAGCTTGGTGTGAATACACAAGCGATAGATTACTCCGTAAACCTAGATCATTCTGCAGACCGGGACTCAGAATAAAATACGGATTCGGACTAACACCGGAAAACATAACGACATTCGCGATCCTAATCCAAAC